ATCTGTCTCTGAGCTATGCGCCATCATTCGATTTCACTAAGCATCGTTTGGAGGTGATTGGATGCATATCTGGCGTTTATAATGACTAGCGGTGACCTACCGATTTACCGAGCTAGTGCAACTATTCTCCCAGACAAGTGTGGCGCCAATTTGCCCACCTCATAGGGATGGGATGCTTGGTGGGCCATGAGCACAGGGATCTATCCCATGTGTGTGCTGCAGGGCGCCTCCGACCACTGCCCCACATGCGCTCAGATAGCCGTGTCTGTCACTTCTATGAAGTTGGTTAAATATACTGCACGTGATGATGGTTTTTCGTTTAACAGTTTAATTGGTGCCCAGTTGTATGGAAAAGTAATTCATTTCCATACGAGTATTTTCAACTAGGAACGTGGATGATGCTTCTCATGACCTTTCAAATTGCCAGTATCTGCTAAATCGAGCGTAAATACTTCAGTAGGCCGTAGAGCCCATTTCAAATCGACATGGAAGGAAAAATTGGTAATGATGCTGGAAAGGTGAGTACGATCGGTTTCCTCGGTCTTTAAGCTTTCCTTCTCTAATATTCCTGAGCTTCTTTGCGCTAGGGAAGGAAATTTAAGGCCCATGTGAAATTCATGAAATTTTTTTTTTCCCAAGTTTCCCAAGTTTTTTAAACACCTCACTTCCACATCTACATTAGACCGTTATTTACCTGGCTTTACAGTGATCTTCTACAGTCTACCAAATCCTATATCGTCAGTCGTGCCATCCACCACGGTTCTGACCATTGCAGGAACAGTTCGCCAACCGTCAGTCACGTATACAACTGTCCTTTTAGAAACTGGGCGAATCTGAACTTTTACACTACAATCCGAACATTTAGTATCTAACCGTCTTGGAATCTCAAAAAAGCCTTACCAAACTTCAAATTCAAAGCAAAATTAAAAAGGATAAAGCTTTCGGGTGATCGAATACATATTTACAATGACCCATCGTGCCCTACCGATCTATCGAGCCAGTGCTACTATCCTCCCAGGGAAGTCTGGCACCAAATTGCCGACCCCGGAGAGTTGGAAGGATTGGTGAGCCTAGGGAGCGGAATCGATCCTATGTGTACAGCAGAGCCCCTCTTATCGTTACGTGACCATACTCAGAGAAAGTTATTATGACAAAAATTAAGTCCGTAATTTTATACTTCGCGTAGATGTAACCAGAAGATCCAAAGTACCTTTTCAGCAAATGCAAGGAAGAACGCCTCTCGCTTTCTTGTTGAGTCGCGCATATGTTGGAAAGCTAGCTTTGCCATTGTACCGCCAGAAAGCTAGCCAAAATCGAAGCCACATTTTTATTAGGAAAAAGATACTTCCACCGTGATTCTCTACAAATTAGTTTCCAATTCCTAGGACAAAGATTATTATTCGGCACGTTTTGCAAAAGTTCCAGAACATTTTAGAAACTTTCTTCGTAAACGGCACTCACCTCCATCACTTCACACATAATTTTAGCATCATCAATGTGTAGACCATCTTTTTGGAATCCCACAGAGTTTTTGATTTCGACTAGAAAGCCCGTTGACGCGTCTATCTCCTTCCTAAACGAAGCCCTATTCCAAGAAACCTCTGTATAATTTGTTTGCCAACTAAATTGCTATTTGAACTGGTCTTCGGATGCAAACCTTATGGCCTCGATTATCTGAGTGATCACTCTCATCCTGTTATCTACCATAAATATCGGTACGTTCGTTCGTCGTAGGCAACATAAACTGAGACAGTAGATATACATGCGCGGCGTGGAGTTTAATACCATCAAACCATAAAATATATAAGGACTATAACAAAAAGAATGACCACAAACCTCGCTTGACATACTTTGCAGAAAACGATGGCTTTTTTTGGTTTCATAGAAGTAATTTTAATAAAAAGGATACAATTTTCTGCGTGGATTACTCCGAAAGTGGATGCACCATGTATTCGACTTTAATGAGCATCATTAGAGGTAAATGAATGCATATCTGGGTAATACAATGAGTCGCGGTGGCCTAGCGATGTAATTAATCAGTGCTGGTATCCTCCTGAACAGGTCTCACCAATTTGCTGACACCGAATGGGTAGAAATCTTGGTGAGCACGAGGGCCAGGATCGAAATAGCGAGCTGTCCATTATCGGTTGCAGGGCACCTCTAACTGCTGCATTACATGTATCTCTTAGGAGCAGTAAATGCAAAAAAAAGGGAAGGATTAAAATCAACTACATCATAATTCTTGCTTAATAATGACACAACCAACCTTGTTTTTGAGCGAATTTAGCTGCATATACAAAGCGATCAGTCACTTCGGTTTTGATCTGTTGTTTAGTGAGCGTTACTGGTTTTCGAAATCCCATAGAACGCCATTCCACCATTAGTTGTACACCAGAACAAGAGAACGGATTGGGATTCACTGCGCAGGGTGTTTGTCGTCCCGCCTGGGAAAATACGGTAGTTGCTCCATGCTTCTTCTCAGCTGATTTTATGTTCACTTGTTAGGAAACCTTTGATTTATATATCTATAATTGCAAAGTAGATACTACAATCATAAACGTGGATTACAAGCAGCTTTATGCCAAAACGATTTCGGTATATTGATAAGGTCGAATAAATAGTTACGGGATAAATGTTTAAGAAGTAGACAATAATGTTGCGGTATCCAGTGTCTAACAGAAGACTTACATGAGAGAGTTGCGCAACAGCGAGTGCTTCATCCCGTCGCATCGCTTTCGACCACTCCAAGCACACATTTCTGAGTTCAGCAGTATTACTTTTTTTGCAAAACACTGCATTTCCAGCTGCTTCGAGATTATTCTAGAAGAATAAACTTATTGTGCAAAGAAAATCCATAGGTGATATCGACAATCAACTATGGGCGGTAGAAAGAAACAATAATAGAGAAGTGCAATCCAGGTTTACTGCCACAAAATTCCATTAAAATGTAAACGTGAAGGTTATTGTCACGTAAGCACCAATAAAAAAATAGTCTATAACTTTGGATATTTTGGCCGACAAAAATCAGTCATTTGATCCTCAACGAATTCGCGACAATATGCAGTTACTTTAAGAGCACGTTTATTTTAAACAGGCTGAACGGATTCCAATGTGATTTTTTGCGACCATTTTCTTCCTGCGCGAATCTCTCCTGGAATACCTTTCGTATAGAGTGGATAAATCTCTCACTAAAGATGCTGAGCTTGGTGGTTCATGAAAGCGCGACTAAAATTTGTAAAAATCGACTATCAGTAGGGTTTGCTCGTATTTATAGGTCTCTCTTCCATTCATCGCCTTTCGCACTAAAAGAGTATTGTCGATTAAGAGGATGTCTCTGCTCTAGAAAGGTATGAATACCGACTCTTTTGCGTTGAACTAAAAACGGAGCCTATGCAGCAAAAAATTAGCCGTACTCTCGTGGCAATTCATCGAAATTTAGCTGTAGCACATATATTAAAATACGATACAACATTAAGTATATCTATTATGTTGGTGAAATATTTGCAAAAGTCCGAACCGCAGGTGTTGTGGTGGGGAACGAATGCGCTACTACCCTTTCCGGGGGCTAATGCGTTCACCACCACACCATGCAAGCCTTTCGTTTCACCTGTTTCTCAGCCATGTTATTGACCTATAACAGCTACCAGCAATCACCCGTCAACGGGATTGATCTGGGTAGCAGAAATCGGCATGAACCCAGTTAAGTTGAAATGATGGTATAAATCACAATGTCACCAATTTTTATTTATTGTCTAGATTTTTCAATGCAAGGTCTTATGTAATATAGAACCCGCCACTGCGTTAGCCCCCGGAAAAGGGTAATACCGCGTTCGTTCTTCACCGCAGACACTTGCGGTTTGGTGCTTTGCAAATATCTAAGCAACTTATGCAACAACTATATGTCATATAATACCCTGCCATCAAAACTTATTAGGTAGTAAATAAAAATTGACGAAGTTATGTATATTCCCCGGAAAGGGTAATCGCGTGTTCGGTCCTCAATACAGACACCCGCTCTCCGGAGTTGCAGAAATATCTCGGCATCATTGTGGTTGCATTTCACATGACACCGTGCCGTGAAAAATTGTCTAGGCAGTAAATAAAAAAGTTTAAGTGCAGCGAAAGCATTAATGAAATGAAGAACTCTGACAAGCGAACACAGCCGCTATTATCAATAATACGTTGGGAGACATTCTCTGAATGAAAATCCTCTTGTTCTGCTGGTACGGTCTCCAAGCAATGACTGTTAGCAACAAAAACGAAAAAAATATATTTTGCGGCTTAAAAAATAGTCGTTTCACCATGTTGCCATGGAAGCACTAGTGTCTTGTTAGCAGACACAAGAATATTCTTTTCGTCTTATTCCAACTAGTAATGAACGGTATAAACACGAGCTACGTTTATTCAAGTTTTCGAAGAATAAATGATTTTTAGCGATATATCGATAAGTATTAGAAAACGCATATATATATATATATATATATATATATATACCACCTGTATCACCCGTAGTTCCGTTGATCGTCGAGTGACTCGAGCAGGCCCCAGTAAATCTCCCATTTTCCTTATCGCGTGCAAGAGTAGCCCAGTGGGTTCTTCTCTCTCTAGAAACTCGTTGAGCATCATATCTTTCTTTAGGGCTTTTTGTAAAAAACTCTGACCATCGGGTCGGTGGTGTTTCCTGCAGTGCGTTTGACATCCCGAGGAATCCCGTCACTAATGGCGCCTGTCTATCGGTTGTCATCTATACGCATTACGTCTCCGGTCCACCTAATGTTCGTCTGTTTGAAGTACAGAACGGCATCTTTGATTTTTGATCGCTGACGCAGGTCGGAGCTTCGGATCTTATCCCTTGCTTGTGTGGAACGGGATACTCCTACCATCGTCTTTCGAGTGCGCATTCGATAACGCTGAGTGACCTTCCATCATGCTTACGCCGCTAAAAGGTTTCTGACGCATACGTTAGGGCAGGAAGTACCATTGAGTCGAAAATGTGCACACGGAATCGGGCGTTATTTGTTCTCTTCACTACATCCTCGATGCTCTTGAAAGCTCTCCAAACCGCTCGTTTCCTTCTGTTCAGCTGTGGAGCTAAGTTGTTCGTCACAGTGATTTCCCGACCTAGATAGATATAACTGGAGCATTCGAAGATAATCGTCCCGTTAAGCGTGAATGAGGCAAGCGAAACCAATCCGTTCTTCATGAACAACGTTTTTGTGAGATTTAGGCAAAGACCAATATTTCCACAGGCTTTATCAAAGTCGGCAAGCATACGTCCTGCTCGGCTAATGTTTGGTGCCATGAGAACGATGTCATCAGCAAAGCGAAGATCGTGTAACCGCCGACCATCGATTTCCACTCCCATATTATCCCATTCCAATGTTTGCATGACGTTTTGGAGGATGGCGGTATATAATTTTGGCGAGATAGTATCGCCCTGCCTAACTCCTCTTTTCACCTCAATGTTAACTTCGTTGCAGAATAGTGATATCTTGGCTGTGAAATTTTTGTACAGCTTACGAAGAATCTTAGTGTACCGAGTAGGAACTCCTTGTATAGAGAACATTCTCCACGAATATTGGAATGTTCTCTATGTAGAACAATTATAACCTTATGCCTTCTACAACATCTATCTATTCGTAATCGTCATACATCTATCCTTGCACATTCGGTAAATCATATCTCATGACATATGATATGAGAGTTTATGCCCTAGTATATGGCATTATCGGTATGGATAATCTCTGCTGGTTGCCAAAGCCAGAACACTCTGGTTCAATGTCGGGGCTTAATTACCCAAGTTTGAGGTTTCCGGCATTGTGACTGCTACTTACAAGAAGTCCCGCGTGGCATACACAAAGGCGAGCAGCAAACTCCGACCGAATCATCTTACCTACTTGGTATTCCTATATAATCTAGCCGTCCCACCACACCTTGACTATCAAGGGCCTCCAAGACTGCTTCTATCTCAACCGATTCAAAGACCTTCTGTAAATCGATGAAAGTGAGACAGAGCTTTTCTACTCTCGCGATATTTGAATGAGCCGTGTTACCGTGTGGATGTGGCCCATCGTACTAAATCTTCTTCGAAACCTTGCTTCCTTACATGGTTGTCGTTCGTCTAGTGTTCTGTCAATCCTGTTTAGGATGACTCGAGTGAAAAGTTTGTAAAAGACAGAGAGTAAGCAGATTGAGCGATAGTGGCCGATATCATGTAGGTCACCCTTTTTGAACAGTAACACGGTCTTGCTGATCTTCCACTGAGTAGGGTCCTTGCATTCATACAGGTAACGTGTGAAGAGCCGAGCCAGTGAGTTTACGAGGTCTGGCGGAAGGTTCTTCAGGTGCTCTGGTCTTATCCCGTCCGGACCTGGTGCTGTTCGACTTTTCACCGACGAAATGGCATGTCGGATTTCGGAAGGGAGAACCGGTGGCACAACATATCCATCCTCCTTTATTTTATCTGACGGAAGGTAGACGTGGCTATCGAAGAAATCCGAGTAGTATACGTGAATGATTTTATCCATTGCCTTTCCGGGCGCTGTAACTGTTCCGCCTGGGTGTCGGAGTGCAATCATCTTGGCCTTGTCTCCACGAAGCGTTGGTGGGTATTGCGAATGCCTTTCCATCCTCTGCAGCTTCGATCATTACTGCTCCGCTTTTCTCTTCAAGATCTTCTTTTAACGCCTGTCTGCATTGTTTTGGAAGTTCGGAAGTTAATTCACGGTTGCCTGCAGCT